ATCAGAAAAGTTGTATACATTTGAAGAAAAAAAAAAAACAGAAATGTTTTCCTTAATTACGTGTTGTGCATTTTGGGCTGATACTTTTCTGCATCGTATCACGATGCACATGCCTCAACTTAACTCAACTGTATTTAGAAAGCACTTTAAAACTACCCAAAGAAAGGAAACTGGCTTCAGAGCGTTCAATTAAAAAAAAATAATAATAATAATAATTACATTTGAAAACGGGATGTTCCATGAGGTTTTGAGCAAGGCGAAGACCTCAAAATGGAGTACTGGGAAAAAACCCACTCGAGAGCACAAGGTGAACATGTCAACTCCACACAGAAGGGCCTCAGTTGAGAGATTTAAACCCAGAACCTCTTGATTATGAGGCCAACATGCTACCCACTATACTACTGTGTCGTATGTATTCTATCTTCTTTACACCACCACAATACTTTTATACTCCAAAGCCAGCAACGCGTGCGATGTATGATTTTATTGCAGCCCATTTAAGAATGCTGCTTTTTTAGAAATGTCTAACCCTTCCATTTCCTCACATTTGTGAATCATTGCAACCACAGAGGAAAGACACGCACATGTCTTGGAATAAGACACATCATCAGCGGATCATTCCTCTCATGTCATCGCCCATTACGTCACACAGATGGCACCATTTATGTCCCGACCGTTTATGAATGCCTTCTGTTCACTGCAACCTTTTCCCGTACATACATGACCCTGTTGAAGGAAATGTTGCTCATTTTTGCAATTTCATGTGAAAACAGTTTGCATGTTTGCATAAACCATTAGCTTCTCTCCTTCAGTGTAGCTCAGCTGCACCGCGGCGCACAAAACAACCATCCATCCATCCGTTTTCTTTACGAGTAGTTCTCAAACTGGGGTTCATGTCTACATAGGGCGAGAAATATATTAACCCAATTAGGAAAGGGAACCACTACATAGTCAGTGACGTACACAAAACATTCCTCTGCTGTGAGTAATCGTTTTTGGGAAGTTTGCATGGATGTCCGGCTGTGTCGCTTCAGATGGACCCCGGCCGGCTGTGTCATCCCAAATGTCAAAGGGCGCGTATGACAACCACGCTAGAAAAACTAATTTTTTTCATCGATTCCCACTCACACAGAGATGCAAAACTGATTGAAAACGCTGAAATATGTGTGACAATAACAATTCAGCATTTTGACTACGGCATTTTTTTTTCAACATGTGCAATTTTTTTTTTTTTTTTATACATTATTTGTTGTTTTGGGCGTTTGTGTTTTTTTTCACCATTTCACCCCATTTTTCAAGAAAACTCAGATTGAAAGTTTGTCTCTTTTCTTTAATTGGGAGGGATGTTTTTATGATATATTTGATTTTTATATACTGTGTTAGTTTAAAATGTGACTATGTACAGTACAGTAATCCCCCATCTATATTTTAAGTTTACCTATAATAATCGTGTTAGCAGATTTTTTTAAGCATAAAAAAATACAAGTTGAAATATGTTAAACTATGTCTAAAAAGTGAGTTTAAATAAAGAGATTACGGCATGCGGAAGGAGGATTTTCATGTTGAAAGGAGAATTGCCGGGGCTTCGGTATGTCTTTTGATGCAAATATTCAGTGAGCTGACCGGAGGCCACTTGAAAGAAACATGAATATCCTTGAGGAGAATAGTTGGACATTATTATTATTTTTTTTTTTTTGCAAATACAGTACGTAAGTTCACTGACGGGTACCACACAAAAACAAACTCTTCCCTGCCCGCAACCACAAAATATTTTTGTTCCGATTGACCATACAAGATAGAGCCAGTTAGTGCTGTTTCCTGCACACAGAGCCACTTCATTCCAGTCTTTGTGCCAAGCTAAGCTAACCGGCGGCTGGCATTGGGAAGAGAGCAAACATACAGTATATCAAACGCGGACGTGGGAAGTAACCAAGTACTTTGTTGCTTCAGATTTTTCACATATCCGTACTTGAGCATTTATCTTTTTGATGACTTGTTTTTTTACTCCCTACTTCGGGTTGAATTCATTCGTTGACTTTAATTCTCCACATCAACATGTAAGGCTTGAAGTTGATGTCATTTGGTATCACGTCTTCCAGTTGGCCAATTTGCGGAGGACTTTGGAGTTGACATAGCGCTATGTGGAGCCGTGAAATGTACTGCCATCTAACATCGACTGGGTCTAAGACTACAAAAATAAGATGGTTGACAAGCAGCATAGCGGTTAGCCTCGCTAGCTTTGGCTAAGACAATCGTCGCATGTCCTAAAATATTCATATCAGTGGGACTAACAGCGAGTTGTCGCTCAAATGTTATGTCCAATAATACACAGACAACAACTGTGCGCTCATTATTTTTTTTTTTTCATTGAAGTTGTATGACACAACACCCACATCTCGTGATTTGTGTTGCTTTACACAATTGACGTCAGCGTATACACTCGCCATATGCTACAAGTCTATGGAAATATTTTACCAAAAATGAAAGCATGTAAAATATGCAAGTCTATCCTCAAATACATAACTGTAAAACCATAAGTGAAATGGATGGAGACAGAGAGTGAAACTAATACATGCTTATTTTTGGAGCCTGCTTACAATGGCCATTTTGCTATGCTAAAGAATACAAGATGATATTAGCCCATTTGGTTTGGTGAAGAAAATCATGCGCAGGATTCCCAGTAAGTGAAGTGCAATTCTCAAAATAGCGAGTTGTATTTTTAATAATTAGTTTTTAGTTGTTTCGCTGCCTGTCCGTCGAAATATGTCTTTACGTGGCAATCCTGTCAGCGATTCATCACTTTTCATAAGTTGACTACACAGTCATTCGTCGTTTAACTCCTGTTGGCTACGGGAATGATTCATGGGGCGCACATTGTCTTGTGTCAGCCTAAAAAAACGATCTGCTGTTCAAAAAAAAAAATCTAAAACCATTCAAGTCGGATGTATTTGCCCAATTTTTATCATTTGCGAATAAACCATTTTTTGTTCATAAGATTATTAAACCATTTTTACTTTTGTATTTAAATCTTAACTTTACAGGGATTGACTCAGTACTTTTAGCAGTCATTTTTTTCTGCTTTCGCCAAAGTGTAAGTACTTTTGCCACCCATCACTGCTTTACAGAGTGATCAAACATCGTCTCTAAACTCGCTAAAGCTTTTGAAAAGATCTTGTGCTGACGTACGCAGGATCCGAGGCCAACATGTAACCCCAGCAACTGAGTCTGTGGTAAAGAGTAATGTGTGCTTATGAATGAAAATGACTGCTGAATGTGCACTCGTGAGCCAACAGCGTCAAACTAACCACCCCGTATGATGCGATGGTGCACATAAAGAAGTGGCTCGATAGAGATCTGCTGCACTGTGGTGAGCATTGAACCAGTAACAACGGTAAGACAGGGAGACTATCCTAAAAGCCGTT